TCCTGGACCGGGGCACGAGCCCGTGTCCCCTGCATCGGCAGGCAGACTCTCAACCACTGCGCCACCAGGGAAGCCCCTAGATGCCATTCTTAAAGAGGCTTTTCCAACTTGGTGACTAGATGGCTGCCAACAGTCTAGGTTCATCCTAACACCCAAGGGATGAGTAAGAGTGTATTATTCCCAGTAGTGTCGGCAAGTTTTAGGCCTGATTCTCGCTGGATCTTCTTGGGTCGCTATCACATCTCAGAATGAATCACTGTAGAGGGTGGAATATGCCGACTGGTCAGACCTGGTCACGTGCTCGCCCCGGCAGTCCAACCCCCCAAAACCACATAAAGATGGAGAGTAGCTCCCTAAAGAAACCCAAAGGAGTCGTCACTGGGCAGATGATATCAGAGATGTCCATTATGGGATCAAACTGCTTATTACTAGTGCTGTGAGGACCTCAGCGAGGGTGACTGTGAGATCATGGGATGGGAGGGCGAGAGTCTGGCTGGGTGGCACAGGAGGTAGCAAGCATCCCAGGGTGAAAGAACAAGTAAAGGTTGTGTCTGGGGCAGGAGGAGGGGCTCTTGAAGAATTTCAGGGGCAGCGAGAGAAAGTGACACAACTCTTTCAGAGCTTGACGAAATTAGGGATGCGACACACGCCCCCAGGGAGAACGTGGACTTAGGGTCTTTAGGAGTTGCCAAATGATGGGAAAAGGAGGAATCAGAGAGACAGGGTGTGGTCAGAAACACCTGACTATCTTCCAAGCAAGACACGCTGGAGGGCCTGGAGCAGGGTATGGGGGACCAAGGAACAGGCAAGGAGTTCGTAAGACGCTGTCCAAGTGGAATGCCCAGGACTTGGACACTTAATGGAAATTTGAAGATGCGGGACGAACGGCAGAGTAACTTTGGGTCTGTGGCCTGGAGAAGGGCAGAGGGAGAGTCCTGGCCATGGGCGGAGGTCTTCCTCTGCTTCTGGGGTTTTCTAGGCGACTGGTCACTGGTGCCAACCTCTGTCCCCTCTGATCCACGAAGGGGCAGGGCTTTTGGACTGTCATGGTTGAACCCACCCCCAGCCATGCTTTGTTTCAGAAATTATCATCACTGCTGGCGGTGAGAATGTGGCCCCCATTCCCATCGAGAACCTGGTTAAGGAGAAGATTCCCATCATCAGTAACGCCACGTTAGTGGGAGATAAGGCCAAGTTTCTGGGTGTCCTCCTGACGCTGAAGGTAACGTGGGTGTTCTAGGCGAGAGGGATCCGCTTCTTGGTCCTCAGGGCCGGGTGCTAGGCGTTGTGACAGGGGTGTCTCGGGACAGTGTGAGGTCGACAAGACGACCGGAGAGCCGCTGGACAGACTGACCTGGGAGGCCATCAGGTTCTGCCGGGATGCAGGCAGCCAGGCAGGCGTCCACCGTGTCCGAGATCTTGGAGCTGCGAGACCCCTTGGTCTACACGGCCATCCAGAAAGGCATAAATGCCGTGAATCAGTGTGCCATCTCCGACGCGCAGAAGGTTCAGAAGTGGGTCATCTTGGAGAAGGACTTTTCCATCAGTGGTGGGGAGCTAGGCGAGCGGCCTGGAGAGCCGGTGGCCTTGAAACGTGGAGGCTGGTCCCTTGCTAGTGTCCAGGGCCACTGTGGGCTCTGAGGAGATGCATCTTTTTTTCTGGGAGTCAGAGTGTCTGTGGGACCAGCTGTGGACCGGGAGGGGGATGTGGCCGCCTCCAGCTAACTGGTGTCCAGCTCCCCCTGGCCACACACACACACATACACACACACACACACACACACAGCCCTTTCTCCCCAGGGCCTTTGTACCTACTGCTCCCTCTGCCTGGACTGCTCTTCCCCCGCAATTCTTTGCCCGAAAGGCTCCTTCTCATTGTCCGGGTCTCACCCTAAAGGCCACTTCCTGAGAGCAGTCTTCCCTGGCCATCCTGGCTAAGGCAGCTTGCCGTCCCCCCAACACACTGACCCTACAGTCCACCGTCACACCTATTGTACCGCCCTGTCTTCTTGCTTCCCTAATACATCAGAGTCTGAAACTACCCTACGTATTAGTTTAGCTTTGCCTATCTCCCTGCCGAGAGGGGAGGGGTCGGAGTGGGGGGGTCTTGCCTTCCCCTGAGGTCCCCCCTGGGGCTTGCTTTCAGCACTCAGCTGTAATTCCACAGCGTGGACCGCAGGGAGCTGGGAGCATGGCAAGCGTGCAGCGTTGAACAACCTGGGTTCAAATCCTGTGCCCGCCACATGGAGTTGGGACTTGTCCCTCCAAACCCTGGTCTTTGTATTTACAAGTTGGAAATGTGACCCAGGAGAGAGAGAGAAAGCGAGAGAGAGAGAGAAAGCGAGAGAGAGAGAGAGAGAGAGAGAGAGAGAGAGAGAGAGAGAGAGAGAGTGTGTGTGTGTGTGTGTGTGTGTGTCTAGGACACATGGAGGGAAGCCCATACCCCCTGGTGACCAGAGCCTACAGGGCGTCCTGGGCTGCATATGAAACAAGTCTCAAGTTCCAGCATTCGTCCCGCCACGCACTTGCTGGGTGACCTTGGAGCAACTGGCCCTGAGCCTCACCTATAAAATCGGAGGGTCGGGGGGTGTCCCTCCATGGTCGGGTACAGCATCCCTTTCAGGCACAGAGCTCACTGTGCTCTCCACCTGCCAGCTCACGGAATCCTCACCGCGGCCCAAGGACAAGGTGGGGAGGGGAGGGGTCCTCTCATCCCGGCGGATGGCAAAGGGGGTGCCCCCAGGAAGTCAAGGGCACAGCCAGCCACCAGCCTGGCCCCAGCCATGAGACCCTGTCTCCTGGTCACGCCCGGGGCACGTGGACTCTTATTGCATCCCCACGTCTGAACTGGTTTCTCCTTTCTCGGCAGGTCCAACGACAAAGATTAAAAGACATTTCATAATCCAGAAATACAAAAAGCAAATCGACAACTTCTATCAGTGACGTCATTGGCAGAGCTGCTCCCGGCTGCCCCAATGGCGAGACCGGCTTCGCTGGGCTGTGCCTCAGATGAGTCCAACACAGCTGGTCTCCCCCAAGCGGCAGGTAGGTCCCTGAGCAGAACCGCAGAGGCCTCGCGTGCACACGCACCCACGCGCGGCTGCCGCGGCTTCTAGGTAGTGTCTGCCCTCAACTCACGCTCTACCTGGGTCCCGGCAGGGCATGCAAACTCCCTCCTGCTTGGCCACCAACTCTGTTAGCTGTTCTTCCTGCCTTTTACTTGTCTCGTAGAGGGAGCAGGGCATCCTTCCCATCCAGGGCCAGAGCTTTTGGTGAAATGCCCAAATGTTTCATTGTGACTTATTTGGAGAAGCCCTTTTGTCAAAAACTGTGGGTGGGGGACTTCCCTGGTGGCGCAGTGGTTAAGAATCCGCCTGCCAATGCAGGGGACATGGGTTCGAGCCCTGGTCTGGGAAGATCCCACATGCCACAGAGCAATTAAGCCCGTGAGCCACAACTACTGAGCCTGCGCTCTAGAGCCTGCGAGCCACAACTACTGAGCCGGTGTGCCACAACTACTGAGCCTGCACTCTAGAGCCTGCGAGCCACAACTACTGAGCCCGCGGGCCACAGCTACTGAAACCTGCGCGCCTAGAGCCCGTGCTCCGCAACAAGAGAAGCCACCGCGACGAGAAGCCCGCGCACCTCAACGAAGAGCAGCCCCCGCTCACTGCACTAGAGAAAGCCCGTGCGCAGCAACGAAGACCCAACGCAGCCAAAAATAAACAAATAAATTTATATATTAAAAAAAAAACAAAACAAAACTGTGGGTGGGAGAAGCTCTACTGGCCAGGAACCCAAGGAATGAGGTGTGTCGACCCACCCTGGGGGGTAAAGGACAGAGACTTGAGCTCCTCCCACCCACCCCCCTTCTCCCCCTTTTCCCCAAAGTCTTGTTCACAGGGAGCCCTGACGACATCAGGAGTCACTGATAGGATTTTGGAACCCCAGCTAGAGGCACAGTGCAGGCAGAGAGGAGGATGCAGCTTCGGTTGTCCCAAGGGTCACCTGTAACCCTTTAGTGGTCAAATCATTCTCTTCTGATGCCCACAGCCTACCCACCTGTATTAGTTTCCTAGAACTACCATAGGACAAAGTTCCACAGACTGGGGTGCTTAAACAATAGGAATTTCTTTTCTCAAGGTTCTGGAGGCTGGAAGTCTCCAAGGTCAAGGTGTTGGCTGGGTTGGTTCCTTCTCAAGTCCCTCGCCTTTGCTTGTAGACGGCCGTTTTCTCCCTGCGTCTGTGTCCAAATTTCCCCTTCCTATAAAGACACTTGTCCTATTGGATTAGGGTCCACCCTAATGATCTCACTTTAACTTGATGACCTCCGTAAAGACCCCATCTCCAAAGACACTCCCATCCTGAGGTCCTGGGTGTGAGGACTTCAACACACGAATTTGTGGAGGGGAACACAATCCAGCCCATGACACCACCGTATCCATTTTCTTTTCTTCATTGTTAACCTATTAAGCTTCTCCACACCTTCGTTTGTCAAAGTGCCGCGGGTGAGCCCAGTAGCTAAACATATCACACTCATCATTCTGTGTCTTTTGCAAGATTTCAGATTTCACTTTGTGGATGGGTAAGAGATCATCCAACACTGACGTGGGGGTGGGAGGTGGACCCTCTCTGCACCTGTGCTGTCCAGTATGGCAGCCACTGGCCCCACAATGTGGCCCGTCTGAACTGAGATGTGCTGTGGGTATAAAACCCACACTGGGCTTCCAAGTCAGGGTACGAAATACAGAACATACAACACCTTATTCATATTTTAAAGTACTGACTGAGGGCTTCCCTCGTGGCGCAGTGGTTGAGAGTCCGCCTGCCGATGTAGGGGACACGGGTTCGTGCCCCGGTCCGGGAAGATCCCACATCCCGTGGAGCGGCTGGGCCCGTGAGCCATGGCGGCTGGGCCTGCGCGTCCGGAGCCTGTGCTCCGCAACGGGAGAGGCCACAACAGTGAGAGGCCCACGTACCGCAAAAAAAAAAAAAAAAGTACTGACTGAATGTTGGAATGAGGCTCTTTGGGACATACCGGGTTACATTAAACATAGCACCTGAGTCAATTTCACCAGTTCCTTTTTTGTGTGACTATTAGAAATTTTTTTTTGCACGGGCTGCTCACTGTTGTGGTCTCTCCCGTTGCGGAGCACAGGCTCCGGACGCGCAGGCTCAGCGGCCACGGCTCACGGGCCCAGCCGCTCCGCGGCATGTGTGATCTTCCCGGACCGGGGCACGAACCCGCGTCCCCTGCATCGGCAGGCAGACTCCCAACCACTGCGCCACCAGGGAAGCCCTAGAAATTTTTTAATTACCTCGGTGGCTCAAGTGATACTCCTCCTGGAGAGTGCCACTCTAAAGTTCATTGGAGAGGGATTCCATTTTTTTTTTTTCTCATTTCTAAGTGGATCCGTTCATTCTGGAATATTTCCATCTTACAGTACCTTGTGGGGTCTCAGGGAATGAACATATAATACATGTACCAAGGATCCCCACGTGATAACTTGTCTTTCTCTTCTCTCTAGCCTCCAAGAGGAAGGCCCCATCGCGACGTGATTTGCTGCTCTGGGCAGGGACTTGAGTCTCTCGTGTTTTTACGAAGTCAGATTCCCTATGGGCCAGTCTCTTTGTCATCCACCTGCTGAAGAGGTACCCCCCTCTCAGACCTGCCATGCCTCTTGAAGCGACCATCACAGACCTCTGAATTCCCATGAACCTTCAGGGCGTGATCCTGGGAAAGCTGATGGGGAGGTCTCTGAAGAACTGCCTGTTTTAAAGAAAGATCTGACCTTGTGGGTTCCAACTGGGTTTTTCTCCTCTTCAGAGGATTGACTTGAGACATCAGAGAAGAAAAGCTTTCACACGTTTGAAGAACTGGGCCCCCGAACCTACCTGCCTTCCTGGGAGCAACTTTTGAAAACCCTTCCGCTAAGTTCTGACAATAAAGCACTTCAGCGCCCCATGTTCTGATTTTTGGCCGGATGCGAACATCCTGTCCTTTGTTGAGAAGCTCAGACTCTACAATCAGTTCTGGGTTCAAATTCTGACTGGCTGTGTGAGTTCAACCTTGTGAGTCTTGGGAGGGGACGTTATCTGTAAAAACAGACCCCCATCTCACAGGGTGGCCGTGGAGGTCCATCAGGATGACCAGAAGGGGGCAGTGCCTGATGCCCCAAAGCCCCTCACACGTGTTAACAGTGATCATCACAGCACCCCGTTGGTCCCAGTTAACAGCTGGGATTCTTTTTTTCTTAATATAAATTTAATTTATTTATATTTTATTTTTGGCTGCATTGGGTCTTCGTTGCTGTGCGTGGGCTTTTCTCTAGTTGCGGCGAGCGGGGGCTACTCTTGTGGTGCGCGGGCTTCTCATTGCAGTGGCTTCTCTTGCTGTGGAGCACGGGCTCTAGGTGAGTGGGCTTCAGTAGCTGTGGCTCGTGGGCTCAGTAGTTGTGGCTCGCGGGCTCTAGAGCACAGGCTCAGTAGTGGTGGTACACGGGCTTAGTTGTTCCGCGGTACGTGGGATCTCCCTGGACCAGGGCTCAAATCGGTGTCCCCTGCATTGGCAGGCAGATTCTTAACCACTGGGCCACCAGGGAAGTCCAGCAGCTGTGATTCTTGATGAATTCCATCTTTCGGGAAAGATGAGTTTGCTGTTGTCATAAGGTCCAAGACAGCAGAAGTTTGAAAGAAGACAGAACTTTCCTCCTCTCTCATCCAACAGTCCGTGTATGGACAGACCAAAGCTGATACTGCACGTCCACAGTATCTGGCCCTGAAAGAATATCAGTGGGAGGAGCAGGCAGGGACAGCCCATCAGGAGAGGAGGAAGAAAACCTTCAGTGTCCCTTAAGGTTCTAGATATCCAGAGGCACCCCTTTTCTTTTAGTTTCAAACATCAAATTATAAATCGATAAGAAATGTATGAAGACGTTCTCCTCGCAAAAAGCATTTGATGCAGATAAGGCTAAAGCCCGCCTCCTCAATTTGGCAAGTCTTCATGTTCTTGAATATGTAAGTATAGTCGACCCTCTTTATTTGCAGCGTCCATATTAACAAGTTTGCCTGCTCACTAACATTGTTTGTAACCCCCCAAATTAACGCCTGTGGTGCTTTTGTCGTCACCTCTGGAAATGCTCAGAGCGCTGGCAAATTTTAATGACCCAACGTGCACGTTCACGGCTGAAGGTCGAAGAAGGCACCTCCTTGCTTCGGCTCAGACGGTGAATGTGTGTCTTTTGGGGGTCTATTTAGTGCTCTGTTTTTCTGCATTTTTGTTGGTGATTTCACTGTTGAAAATGGCCCCCAAGTACAGTGCTGATGTACTGACAAGTGGTCTTGAGTACAAGAAGGCTGTGGGGTACCTTATGGAAAAATTATACACGTATTAAATAAGCTCCATTCAGGCATGAATTACAGTGCTGTTGGCCATGAGTTCAATGCTAGTGAATCATCAATACATCTTAAGGTGTCCCCAAACAGAAATACACATTACACAAGGTACGTACTGATCAGCGGATAAAAATGTTGTGACCGGGAGGCTTCCCTGGTGGCGCAGTGGTTGAGAGTCCGCCTGCCGATGCAGGGGACACGGGTTCGTGCCCCGGTCCGGGAGGGTCCCACATGCCGCGGAGCGGCTGGGCCCGTGAGCCATGGCCGCTGAGCCTGCGCGTCCGGAGCCTGTGCTCCGCAGCGGGAGAGGCCACAACAACGAGAGGCCCGCGTACCGCAGAAAAAAAAATAATAATACATCAACACGTGGGACAATTCTCACAGCAAACCGACTGGAAACTGACAGAAGAACCCCTATACAACCAAAGCTGCAAGAAAGATCTCTATATAACTGGGTTGGACAAGGAAAAAAAAAAGCATCAGGACAGGACCGGCAACCCTGGGAAGGATCAGTAAGGAAGAGAAGGTCCACACGGGCAGACTCTCGC